ACTTCATCTGCTAGACAACTACTTGCACAACCTGTGAAATCAGATTTTACTAATTATTTATCAGCTGGACAAGTTGAACATTTGTTCTTATTTGTAGAATCGAAGTATGAGCCTAATTCACATTTTTTATAGCAATTTTTGTCTATTAGTACTTCATCTGCTAGACAACTACTTGCACAATCTGTGAAATCAGATTTTACTAATTATTTATCAGCTGGACAAGTTGAACATTTGTTCTTATTTGTAGAATCAAAGTATGAGCCCAATTCACATTTTTTATAGCAATTTTTGTCTATTAGTACTTCATCAGCTAGACAACTACTTGCACAATCTGTGAAATCAGATTTTACTAATTATTTATCAGCTGGACAAGTTGAACATTTGTTCTTATTTGTAGAATCAAAGTATGAGCCCAATTCACATTTTTTATAGCAATTTTTGTCTATTAGTACTTCATCAGCTAGACAACTACTTGCACAATCTGTTAAATCAGATTTTACTAATTATTTATCAGCTGGACAAGCTGTGCATTTGTTCTTATTTGTAGAATCGAAGTATGAGCCCAATTCACATTTTTTATAGCAATTTTTGTCTATTAGTACTTCATCTGCTAGACAACTACTTGCACAATCTGTGAAATCAGATTTTACTAATTATTTATCAGCTGGACAAGTTGAACATTTGTTCTTATTAGTAGAATCAAAGTATGAGCCCAATTCACATTTTTTATAGCAATTTTTGTCTATTAGTACTTCATCTGCTAGACAACTACTTGCACAATCTGTGAAATCAGATTTTACTAATTATTTATCAGCTGGACAAGTTGAACATTTGTTCTTATTTGTAGAATCAAAGTATGAGCCCAATTCACATTTTTTATAGCAATTTTTGTCTATTAGTACTTCATCAGCTAGACAACTACTTGCACAACCTGTGAAATCAGATTTTACTAATTATTTATCAGCTGGACAAGCTGTGCATTTGTTCTTATTTGTAGAATCGAAGTATGAGCCCAATTCACATTTTTTATAGCAATTTTTGTCTATTAGTACTTCATCTGCTAGACAACTACTTGCACAATCTGTGAAATCAGATTTTACTAATTATTTATCAGCTGGACAAGCTGTGCATTTGTTCTTATTTGTAGAATCGAAGTATGAGCCCAATTCACATTTTTTATAGCAATTTTTGTCTATTAGTACTTCATCTGCTAGACAACTACTTGCACAATCTGTGAAATCAGATTTTACTAATTATTTATCAGCTGGACAAGTTGAACATTTGTTCTTATTAGTAGAATCAAAGTATGAGCCCAATTCACATTTTTTATAGCAATTTTTGTCTATTAGTACTTCATCAGCTAGACAACTACTTGCACAATCTGTGAAATCAGATTTTACTAATTATTTATCAGCTGGACAAGTTGAACATTTGTTCTTATTTGTAGAATCAAAGTATGAGCCCAATTCACATTTTTTATAGCAATTTTTGTCTATTAGTACTTCATTAGCTAGACAACTACTTGCACAATCTGTTAAATCAGATTTTACTAATTATTTATCAGCTGGACAAGCTGTGCATTTGTTCTTATTTGTAGAATCGAAGTATGAGCCCAATTCACATTTTTTATAGCAATTTTTGTCTATTAGTACTTCATCTGCTAGACAACTACTTGCACAATCTGTGAAATCAGATTTTACTAATTATTTATCAGCTGGACAAGTTGAACATTTGTTCTTATTTGTAGAATCAAAGTATGAGCCCAATTCACATTTTTTATAGCAATTTTTGTCTATTAGTACTTCATCTGCTAGACAACTACTTGCACAATCTGTGAAATCAGATTTTACTAATTATTTATCAGCTGGACAAGTTGAACATTTGTTCTTATTAGTAGAATCAAAGTATGAGCCCAATTCACATTTTTTATAGCAATTTTTGTCTATTAGTACTTCATCTGCTAGACAACTACTTGCACAACCTGTGAAATCAGATTTTACTAATTATTTATCAGCTGGACAAGTTGAACATTTGTTCTTATTTGTAGAATCGAAGTATGAGCCTAATTCACATTTTTTATAGCAATTTTTGTCTATTAGTACTTCATCTGCTAGACAACTACTTGCACAATCTGTGAAATCAGATTTTACTAATTATTTATCAGCTGGACAAGTTGAACATTTGTTCTTATTAGTAGAATCGAAGTATGAGCCCAATTCACATTTTTTATAGCAATTTTTGTCTATTAGTACTTCATCAGCTAGACAACTACTTGCACAATCTGTGAAATCAGATTTTACTAATTATTTATCAGCTGGACAAGCTGTGCATTTGTTCTTATTTGTAGAATCGAAGTATGAGCCCAATTCACATTTTTTATAGCAATTTTTGTCTATTAGTACTTCATCTGCTAGACAACTACTTGCACAATCTGTTAAATCAGATTTTACTAATTATTTATCAGCTGGACAAGCTGTGCATTTGTTCTTATTTGTAGAATCGAAGTATGAGCCTAATTCACATTTTTTATAGCAATTTTTGTCTATTAGTACTTCATCTGCTAGACAACTACTTGCACAATCTGTGAAATCAGATTTTACTAATTATTTATCAGCTGGACAAGTTGAACATTTGTTCTTATTTGTAGAATCGAAGTATGAGCCCAATTCACATTTTTTATAGCAATTTTTGTCTATTAGTACTTCATCAGCTAGACAACTACTTGCACAATCTGTGAAATCAGATTTTACTAATTATTTATCAGCTGGACAAGCTGTGCATTTGTTCTTATTTGTAGAATCGAAGTATGAGCCCAATTCACATTTTTTATAGCAATTTTTGTCTATTAGTACTTCATCAGCTAGACAACTACTTGCACAATCTGTGAAATCAGATTTTACTAATTATTTATCAGCTGGACAAGTTGAACATTTGTTCTTATTTGTAGAATCGAAGTATGAGCCCAATTCACATTTTTTATAGCAATTTTTGTCTATTAGTACTTCATCTGCTAGGCAACTACTTGCACAACCTGAGAAATCAGATATTACTAATGACTTATCAGCTGGACAAGTTTTACATTAGTTTTTATTTGTAGAATCGAAGTATAAGCCTAATTCACATTTTTAATAGCAATTTTTGTCTATTTGTACTTCATCGGCTAGACAACTACTTGCACAACCTGAGAAATCAGATTTGACTAAAGATTGATCAGCTGTACAATCTGTACATTAGTTATTATTAGTAGAATCAATGAATTAACCTAACTCACAATTTTTATAGCAAGTTCCACTTATCAATATTTAATCATTATTACAGGAAATATTATCTCCATAAATAAATGACAAACATGTTATAAGGGTCAAACATATTTAAATAAATTATAAATTCGATTTCATATTTTTGTAAAGATTTTTTAGAATTTATTTTTTTTTAATTATTTATTAAAAATTAATCAAAATAATTCAAAATTTATAAATAATTTTTTCTATTTATTTTTTTTAATTACATATTATTCATATTCATAATATCAAATACTTTCTTTTTCAAATAGAAATAGATGCTATTTGATACTTTAATATTCTAAAAATATACCTTACCCTTATTAAGAATTTATTAATGTGTTTACAAAATTTAATCAATTTAAAATAATAATTTAATATTAATTCTTAAAATTAAGTATTTTTCCTACCTCCTTGCTTTTTAATAATATATTTCTTAATAAAACAAAATAAAATCTGTAAAATTAAGAGGGTATAATTTAAAAGAATTTAAAATATACCTAAAATGATTGATTATTTATGATTTTTTTAATTAGTTTTTATAAGAATTTAATAAACTCCAAAATAATCAAGATAATATTACAGTCTGAAATAATTTAAATATTTTTTAAAATAGACAAGAAACACTATTTGTGAATTTTTATTTATTCTTTTAATAATTGAGACGACAAAGCAATAAAAATTCTTTTTTTATTTTACTTTTATACTAATATATTTTAATAAAAACTAAATAAAAAATTAATCAAATAGCAAAACATTATAACAAAAATATGTTTCACTTATTTGAAATTAAAAAAATATTTTCACTTTCATCAAAAAATAAGTTCCTTGTTAAAACAACAACTTTTACAATATAATCATTTAGTTTTTTCTTAATTTTAATATAGCTGTTTTCAAGTAAATGAAATAGTCAATTAAATATTTCTAATTAAAAAAAGTAATTCTGTTTACAAAAAATATTAATTAAACTCATCTATTATTTTGTTGTTGTCTAATCTTCGAGATAATATAAACCATTTTTTAATACTTTTTTATTGATATTTAATTACAGTTTAATGAAAAAAATATTTTAAAAATTAAAATTGTATAATGATAAAAATAATTTCCTTTTTATATTATAGTAGTTATAAACTCTAATGTTTAATAAAATAGAAATTTAATACTAAAAACTATTTAGGAATTAATTTAGTTTTAGATATTATAAATCAAATTAATTGAATACAATTAATATTGGGAGTTTATTTCCAAAAATATGATTTGTTTACAGATCTAAATTTTTTAAATATAAATACATATTTGAAATCTAAATAAGGCTAAAATTATGATCAAATAAAAGTAGGTTTTTAAAAAGAATGTATTTCAAAAATTCTACCATTTTTAAATGAAAAAGAATATTTTTGAAAGCATGACTATATACTATACTTATATTTGCTATCACTTTGTAAGTAAGTACCTGCCTTAAATTTATAAAGAAGATATTCTATACTTCTTACTTATATTGCTGATATTAAAAATTGATTAAAACCATATATTTATCTGCAAAGGAATACTTAATCGACCCACTTATTTGGTCTATTAAATTATTTGACTATTTAACTTCTAAATTTTATATTTTTAAATATTTTATTTGAAATAAATTTATAATTTAAAACCTGTATTTAAGATTTTTAACATATTTTATCATAATATAATTAAATTAAATATACCTACTTCATATTTAATTTTTACTTTAACGATAATAGCTTCATGTATTATTTGTAAAAAAATTCATAGACTTTTTGAATTTATGGATTGAAACCCATATTTCAGATTTTAGTGTAATAGCCAATTTAGAGGCAAAGATATTGTGATTGATCAAAAAACTTTACAGATATAATTTTGTAAACTTACCTTCAACCAGTACTTACCTAAAACTAAAGGGTAAATTAAAAAGTTTTAATTTCACAAAATATGATGTTTAATTAAGCAATTTATCTTACCCCATAATTTTTTTATTTGAGTCTAAATTAATTACTTTTAAAAGTAAATATCGAATATATTAAAAAAACCTTAAATTAATTGAAATTGTAATATTGAATACTGTATGTAACAAATAAACACTCTTATAAAATAATCATTTTTATGGTATTTAAATAATGTTTAAAATAAGGATTATAGGGGCCAATTTATTAGCCAGTCTCAAGTTCGTCAATTGTTTTATTTTAAAATTTTTAATTTTTAAAAATTAAATCTTCTCTTACATTACGTTAATCTTATTTATAGAATGTGTATCAAAAATTTATTTTTTCTTTGTGTTCACTTTAAAATATGCTTCTCATTTGTGATTATTATTTCGCTATTCTAAAGATTAAAAGGAAATATTAAAAAAGATAAAACAATTATTTTCTAAAAATCTATGTAATCATCTTTAACTTTGTTTAATATATATAATAAATAGAAAGATATTTGCTTTGAAAATACCTCGAATTTAATAAATTATATTCCCTATTAATAAATATTTAATTTTGAGATATATTAATAAAATTTATTTTGCTTTTTTAAATCAAGATTTCCTATTGCTCTGATCTAATCATTTTATGAGTGTATTATATTATATAAATGTAATAAATAGGTAAAATTTTAAAAATAGTCAACGTAATATTATGGAAAGATAGACTTTGAAATAGAGGTGATTAGCTTTTTTATTAAAAATAAGTACTATGCATCTTTAAATTAAATAAAGTGTAAACAATTTTAGCACTAATAACTATTACTAATTAATAACGAATAAAGGGTTTTTAATAATTGTATATAATATATCACATTTAAAAAAAATAACTCTTTTTATTAGAACAAATATCCCAATTACAGATAATAAAACTAATGATAGAGCTTACCTATCTATGTGAAAATATTTAAAATTAAGATATCTTATTAATGGATTTGATACTTGAAATTTTCCCCCACTTTGATCTGTATTCGATTTTATTATTTAGATTTTTTTAAATTATTATAAGTAAATGATATTATTGAATTCTGAGGGTCTCAAACTTAATTACTATTATGTAACCTCATATTTTAATTTAATATCTCACGTTACTGAATCTATTATTAATAATTTATAGACTTTTTAATATTAAAAAGGAATTTGTGCTATAGAAGGATTAAGAGTAGTAAAAAGTGTCCATAATTTAGTGACTAAATTATACAAAAAAAAATTTTAAGCTTAAATACTTGATTTAACATCATCTAAAATATTTTCACTATTGATTCTAAATTTTATAGAAAATTATAAGCATATCTTTTATTGTTTAAATATATGAAAAAAATATTCTTATTTTTAGATTAATTGATTTTAAAAAGTTAAGCCTTTTTTTTAGAAGGTCCAATTAAATGATTTATAATTTCCTTGTCACTTTTAAAAATTGTCAAATTTTTTGCTATTTTTCAGCTATCTTGTTTTAGCTTTTTGGTTAAAGATTATTCAATCAAAATCAAAATGATGGTGATTTTTTGCAATAAAATAAATGTCTAAAAGGCATAAACTTTTTAAATAGAGCTTTAAAATTTCTAAAAGTAGTTTGATAAAATTAATTTTTTAATATTTATTTTAAGTATTTAGTTAGCTATTTAATAATTAAAGAAAAAGTAAATCTTTATTCTAGTTTTTTATAAAAAATATCAAAAGATGAGCTTGGATTTAAAAAAAAATAAATAATAAGCATCTAAAACAATACTTGATATGCTTTTAAATGCCATATCTTTTAAATTTTAGTTTTTACTAAAATGAGTCTCTATTTTTTTATAGTTAAATAATAATTTTTGCTAATAATAAAATTCCTTATTTTAAAATATGAATGAAAAATCTGCATCGATAAAACATTTCTAATATTATATTTATCTTAATCCTCCACAAATATTGTTTCACAAATAAAGAAGATCTCTCAAAAAATATTTAAATCCATATTATCTTAAGGAAAAAGTTTCTTGCTCAGATTTTTTAATTGTAAGATCAAATTAGATTTGGTAGTAAATTCTCTTTGATTGTTATAATTTTTTTTTTGGAAGAATAGTTATGTTTTTACACTTTATTATCACCATACAAATCTTAATTACATTATGAAAATTGAATTAAATAACAGTACAGAACTTTCAACTTTATTAGATTAATGCTTACCCTCTAATAATTATATGTATGCGTTATGTATATAATTTGTCTTTTTAATTAAATATTTTGCGTTACAAGTTTTATATAAAAGATATATTATGAATCCTTGATAATTTATGACAACATCTAGCATATATTTCTATGATTAAAAAAATCATTAATTTTTTAAATTTATTAAAAATATTTTGCTCGTATAAATTTAAATTTTGAGTATTTACAATCTATTATTTTATTAAAAGTGCTTTTTTTATTTGAACTTAATTACACTAATCTTAATTTCAGTTTAAACAAGATTCATTTATTTTTTCTTGTAAGTGGTTAAATACTGTAAGAATAAAAGATTTTCTTCATCTGACTTTTTAATAGTTTTGTGTAAACAGTAAACTGACTAAATAACACTTTTACTTAAGAAAAGATTATAATTTTAAATGGAGTATTTACGTTAGGATTTTAAAAACAAACTTAAATTTAATAATATGACATGCTCATTACACATTAAGAGAAAATTTCTTTTTTACTATGACAATTATTTTTTGTTCATAAAAATATATTTCTTAAAAGAATTTTTATAAAATTTATCACTAATTAGCAATTTGATATAATAGGATTTAGAAGAAAAAAACAATGGTCTATTGCTAGATTTTGAATACTTTAGCTTTTGTAGGTGCAAAGATATAAACTAAACAAATTTTTTATTTCATTATTTAAGTACTGTTCTATAAGATATATTAGCCATATAGTACCATTTATTTTGGCATTAAATAATTTAAAATGATAAGGATTTCTCTGATATTTTAGAGGAAATATTTTGATAAAATACTAAAATACCTAAATATTTTAGCTTTTTATTTCTTCATTTTTTGTCCTTTTACTAACTTTCTATAAAATGAATGATAAGTAATATTTGAAATGAAAATAGAATTAGTTTAATCTAAATAAACATATCACAATTATTTTTCATCTTTTTAGTATTTACATAACTCATAAAATGAAAGGAAATCAATAAATATCATTTTAAAAGGAAAAAACAAATAATTTTTTTTAAAAATATAGGTTTGGTTAAACAAAATTTTCTTCATGCTTTCTCATTTTATATTCCCTTAATTAAAATATTTTTCTTATTGCACACAATTAACAAAAGCTAAAATAAAATCTTAAAAAATTATATTCAACAAAAATGACAGTCGATATTTATCGTTGATTATTTGATTTTTATAATTTTTATTCATAAAAATTAATAATACCCTTATATAATAAAAACAAAATTAAAAAAAGAAATTATTTTTGAACTTTTCCAATTTTTGGAAATAAAACTCTAAAAAATAAAATTATATTATCGTTTATTCCAGCTTAGTATTTGTGTTATTTAAAACTTAGTTTGTAAAAATTTTTAACCATTTTTTCATTTTATATCTTTCTATATATATTATTAATATGATTGAGAATAGAAATATTCCATGTTCGATTTTAAGAAATATCTTTGGTTTACTAAAATTGCAATTAATGTTTTGTGGCTTTTTATTATAATCAATTGTTTTGATTACACTTTTAATTTAATTAAAAGTATAAATTTTTATAGAAAATTCTTTTAATCAAAATATCTAACCCTATCCTTTTTTTAATTTTTTAAATTGTAAATTTTTTCGCAAACTCATATTTAATTAAACGAGATTACAGCTTAAATTTAAAAAGGTGATTTAATCTCATAAAATATGAATCTTAAAAGATTTTGACTATCCTATCAATAAATAAAATTTAGTAACGATTGCTTAACTAAAACAATCAAATAATTTTTAATTTACTATGTGTGGTTATATCTAAAATATATATATTTATAAAAGGAAGATTTTCTTTAAAATTTTATTTTATTGACTTCATTTTGTAAAATGCATCAAAAGAAAAAGAAGATACACATTTAAAGAATAAATACCAATATATTGGATTTTAGTACATATACTTTTTTGGTATTATCTTAACTCTTTTATTTCATTGGTTGTTTTTCATTAAAAAACTTAGAGATAGATCAAAATATAAATAATTTATTCAATAATTTATAAAATATTAGTATATTATGTGTATTATAAAATGTTTATTGAAACATGGTCTAAATTTATAAAAAATTGCAGCGAAATGATTATTTTTAACACATAAAATATTTTTATTTTTATTTCTCATAGTCATTATTATTAATAGTCTTATAAAAAAAACTAATAACTTTATATTAATACATCATATTCTGAAATTTTAAGTAATTCTTTTATAATTTTAATATAAAATCCATTCAAATTACTTTTATTGACAAAGTACTTTTTTATTGTTTTTAAATAAACTGCCTTTGTATTGTTATTTCTTTTTATTATTTATGAAAATATTGTTGTTTAAATAAAAATAATTTTAAATTAAGATATCTTATTTAATTCATCATTTAAGTTATCATTTTTCATCTTCTTATAATATAGCTCAAAATTAATATGAAGCTTGTCTCTAGATATTCTTGTTTTAGAATATTTTTTATTTGATCTTACAATTTACAAATACTTGAGATTATTAATTTCTGATGTTTTGAAAATTTTACTCTCTAAAGTTTTAAATAAGCACGTCATCGTATTGGAATTAAATATTTTACTTATGATGATTATAATTACAGATTTTGTAGACTTTTGAATTGAATTAAATTGGTATAGAAACTCATTCTTCAAAATGTAAAAAAATGTTTTTAATTTTAGTATATTATCATACGGACCGCCTAAGCTTTAATTACTAGTTAAGTAAACATATAAAATATTTTATGATTACTTTTATCTTTGAAAAAAATAATTATATATGTCTGAAATTTATAAATCTAAGAATGGTATTCTTTGTTTTAGATTAATTAATTTAAAAAAATTAAGCTTTTGATCAGAAAAATAATAGGTTACTGCAAATTATATTGGCAGTTTATTAAAATTATCAAATTTAACTAGAACTTGAAGTCAATTTATGTTTGTAACCTTGCGAAGGAGCTTCCACATTTATCAAATAAAAAATTGAATAATATGGTTTTATATTTTTTTAAAATGGTGAAAAACTATACATTTTTATTCTTAATATAAATTTTAAATATTTTAAAATAACCAATGCTATTTACTTTAAATCTTTTTTCTTATGTTTATCTATGATATTTAAAGATGAGCTTGGAAATAAGAAAAAATTTCATAATTTGATTGAATCTTACCATTTTTTTCCAAACAAAAATTACTTTCTTAAATTAAAATAAAGTTAACATTAGCTTTAATTATGAAATGTTTATTTTAAAATTATATTTCTAAAAAACTTAAAAGAAATTATATATATGAATTATCATTGCATCTCATTTTCTTTCCTTCAATTAGTTACTTTAATTGTGATTGATAAAAGCTTTTCTGAAAATAATAGAAAATCTTTAACTTATTTCATTCCAATCGAATAAATTTTTATTATTAAAGAAAGAATTTTTTAATCTAGATAAGGAAATTAAAAGATCTAATCATATTTGAAAACTATCTTTTTTAATCCAATTTTAATATCATAATTAAAAGCTTAATTATATATGCGTTGATACTACAAACCATAAACTAAACTTTCAGAATCATTAACTAACATTACCTCATTGTATTTATTTTCTTTTTTTCGCCTAGCATTTTATATGTATTCTTCATTCTTACTATCTTTTTTATCTAAACTAAAATAAAGTCGAAATAAACAAAAAATATAATATGAATAGCATTAACTAAGGAGTGCTTGCTGTAAAAAATATGATTAAAATAAAATTGATATTACAAAATATCATTTGATTAGATTTTCTTAATTTGTATTTAGTTACTTATGATATAATTGCAATTAAAATTATATTTATTTTTTTTTAATTAAATGATGAATACTTACCAAAATAGAGAAATACTAATTTTTTGCTTTAAATGTTTTAATAAAAGATTATTTTTATCAAGCTAGTTAGGTTTTTCCTTTCTTAGTAAATTATAATAATAATCCATATTTAATATACATTTAGGATATAAATTGTTTCTTCGTCTCATAGGTTATTGCTTTAAAATTTATGTATTAATATTAATATTTCTATTTTCATAATTTACCATTTAACATATATTATAAGAAGCTGTGAAAAAAAATAAGTAAAACATTTTTCATATGTTTATTAAATGTTTAGGATAATGTTAAATGTAACAAAAGTAATTATTATACCTTTTTTATATATACTATTTATTTTATAAGGATGTTTTTCATAAAGAATATAAATCTAAATAAAAAATGGCAAATCTTTTTTTTAAATGATAAGTACATAATGAAATAGCTAGAGTTTTTTAAGCAATTTGCATTCTTCCAATGAAATTATAAAATATATTTTGATTAATGACAATTACAGATATAGATATAGATAACAATACCCTTGAGTTAAAATTATGTAATTATGATTAGTAATATTTCGTAAACTAGAGAGTTCAGATAATTTATTTGATTACTTAATTCCTATTTATTGATTTGGTGAATATTATAATAACAATTATTATTTTCATAGTTAGAGTAAGAAATTAAAGAAAGTTTAATTAATTTATCTAACCCTATCAAATTTTAAACTTTCTGCCTGGCCTTACTTACTTATATAAATATTAAATCAATAATATTAAAACTGATGTAAATTTCATTAAAAGTTAGAGTTTACATTTACAATTTAATTCTAAATACTATCTAATAAATTATGGCTAAAAAATGATAACTTACAATTCTAATAATCATTATATCACAATCATATTTGCTAATAGATGCTATAATTAAAACTTTTTTAATTAAAGTTATGCGTTGTGTCCAATAAATGTAACTTTTCAAAGTGAGTTTGCCTTAAAATCTTACAGCTTTTTTTAAATATTTTCTATTTTCAAAGTGTAAATAGGATAAAGGAAAATGAAGATAAATTAATAAAATAAATTCTGTAATTTTAACTTTTAAGTCATTTATTTTTTAGAACTCTTTCTTACTTAGTTTTTAAAGGAATTTTAATAACTTAAAAATTTGATATAATGACATAGATGCCCTTTTCAATATTTCGTAAATATAAAATATTTAAGTCTATGATAAAAATAAAGGGAAAGATCATGATAATTTAAAAATATAACAAAAACATAATTTAAATTACATTAATCGAACATAATTTTTTATTTTTATAGTTAAAAGTATAAAAAAGCTAATTTTATATCAATAGATGTCAACTTTAAAATAAAAATATTTCCATAAAAATAGATTGATAGATTGATTTTATTTAAGCCTTTTTAGTTAATATTTAGCTCTTTAGTATATAAAAATTTTTATCTTAGATAAGAATATTACTAAATAAAATTATCTTTAATTAAAATCTTTTCTTTTATCATTAATATTATTATTAATTTTATTTATAATAGTTTATTTTTAGATAAATATAAATCACAATAATGTTTATTTTTTTAAATTATTTTTAGATTGATACAATATAATTAAATATTAAAGGTAATTTTACTTTAAATTGATTTAGTAAAGAAAACTAAAATATTTTAATATTAATTTTTTAACATGGGTATTATAATAAAGGGAAAAAATTTTAATACTCGTCGATATTTGTGATAGATCTACTATATATATAAATGATCTACAAATTTTTAATATTTCTTTTTTAATAATTCATCTAATCAATCATCATTTTCAGTGTCATCAACTATTAATTAATTTAAACTATCTTCATCTTCATTGATTTCTTCTGTTAATGAATTATTTCAGCTTTTTCTAGATTTATGTTTTTTTGTTTTAGGTGCCTTACTTTTATTTTTCTATTATTTTTTTTGCTTTGGCTTTTCTTGTTCATCTTACTAGTTAAGGTTCGTCAACATCCCATTTTTATCTTATTATAGCTTTTCTGTATCTGAATAGACTAAATCATCTAGATTTTAACCATACTTACGATAAGAAGATTCTGATTTGCTTTGTTTTGTTTGTGTTCTTATTTTGTTTCTGCTATCTATATATCTTTTGTTATATTTCTTTGTTAATTTTGTCATTATTAGGCTAGATCCAACACAATAATAATTATTTTTCGGGTGTTATAAATTATTAAGATGCTCCTTTAATTGTTAGGGTTTAATATTATAATACTCTAAGTAATCTAAAACGGCCTCTATTTCTATCTTTCTCTCAAAGATATTTTTAGAATTTTTAGCTCTACATCAACTAAGTCGGTCGAGGACTCTAAAATGACTGTAGTATCCTTTTAACCTGAATAGAGTTTTTTAGAATTAATAACTTATAATTTCTTGCTAACCTTAAAATACATTTCTAAAAAATTGGATGTTTAACGGATATCATTTCCAAACCTTTCTGATATTTTTTTAAATGATTAGATATCAAAATCTAAATCATAAAATCCTTCTTATCAACATACATCTTTCATCCATTTCATATTTTTCTGGCTTTACAAACTTGATATCATAACAGTTATTTGTTAAGCTCCTAACCTTAGGATTTATCCTGTCATTACATATAAAAAAATTGGTACATGAGTATTTTTGATAGCGCCTTTAATAGCTTGGTTATTACCTCTATCTCAAGAAGACATTTCATCAACTTCATCCATTATTATTATGAATATTTGTTTGTTTTAACTTTGACTTCATCATCAACCTGGTTGTTTTTTTAATCATTTATTTTTTTTTTTCTTTTTAACAAATTTAGAATAGAGTTAGATTTAAGGTCTCCTAGTATATAATTAGCAGTCTTTTTATTATATTCGTCTGAAGCATTCCAATCTCTTATTTCATATCCCATAAACTTAGCTATAAGTCTGACTGATGTTGCATACTCAATAAGCAGGTTTTTTCATTTTGAGATTGTTTGAATTATTAGGTATACAATAAGCTGTATTGAAAAATAAATATTTAACCTATTTTTTATTATCTTTAATTGCAACCCAATCATGCAACCATTCCATAATTAACAAAACTATTTTAGTTTCTTATGTATAACTCACTGCTGCTTGGAGTATACTTTTCTGTCCAAATTTAATCAATTTTGGTTTTTATAATATATCTTTATTAAAAAATAATAATTTCACAAATAAAATGATGCAAAACTCAATCTATGATTATAATATTTTTCTCCGAAAGCTTTAAAAAACTTCTAAAAATTGACTCATTTTTCCTAATAATCCTATCCGAAAATCAGATGAGATTTTCCATTTATGCTTATCATATATATTTTTTCAAATAATAATAATTTTTTGAAAACAACGCTTTAATTTTTTAGATTTTTTTAAAAATTTAATTATTAATTTTGATTAAGGTGTTAATTTTATTAGAATTTAAAATTTAAAAAAAAATAAAATTATGATAATGAAAGAAAGTAAATGAGAAAGCTATAATAAATAAAATTTGAAGATTTCAAGATTAAATCTATATTTTATAAAAAAATATTTAAAAATTAAGTAATTACTAACATAAATAAATCATTAATTAATTAGGTGTTTTAAAAATTTAATCTCTCAAAAAAAGAAAAAAAGTTTATTTTAAAACAATTTATTTATTTTAATAATAATATTTTTTATCATTTTTTAGTTTTATGATTTTTTTAATTTATTAATATTTTGATTTGAAATATGATTAATTTTTATTTTGTTAACTTACAAAAACTTTTTTGGTTTAGAAAGTAATTATAATTAATTAATCTTTGTTGAATTGGAAGGTGTGTGTGGATACTTTTATAAAATGGTTGCTTTATGATATTAAATTATCTTTTTGAATAGGAATTTAATTGAATTATATGACACACATCTTTAATAATTGAGAAAAATTAATAAAAAAGATAAAATATATTATTGCAAAAAAAGGAAAATAGATTTTTTTAAAAGAAAATACTTACTATTTGAAGATATACATTTTGCAAAGATAAGTAAAAATATATTTATTTATAATCTAATTTATTAAATGGTTTATCTATAATTAGCTTTATTTTATTAAATTAATATTAGCCCTAAATTCTAATTATATATATAAATGGTATTTGTTTGACATATTTTAAACTAGAACTTTAAAATAGTTTATTTCAAGCTGCAGAAGCCTTTTTTATTTCTTCTTCAATTAATTTCTTAATGTTTTAAGCTTTTTGAAGTAAAATTGCGTGATTAGGATCTTTTTTAGAGCAAACACCGAATAACAAATTATTGCAAATATTTTAAAGAATAACAGTTCCGTTATCGTGATGAACAATTTGAGTCTAGATTGAAACATTCATAGAAAGACATTCTTCTCCCATTTCTTCTTATTCAGCAGCAATATCATTATTTAAGAATTATCCAACAAATATACTTTCTTCCCATAATGCAGTCATGTTGCTAATAAATGATTTTTAATTCCAATCGTTAGTAGCAATAATACCGTCTTAATTGCTAGATAAGAATACGCACTTAAAACTTGGCTCTCTTTGAGTTATTTCACTCAAGAATTCATTTAACTTTAATGGCTTAAACATCTCACAATATCTTAAATACTTTAATTACTAAATTATTAACAAGCAAATAAATCAAATTATTTTATTCTTTTAATTTTGTTTATGAGTTATTGATTGCTCTAAACAATAAATAAATGATATGGAATTAATTCACAAAATTTAGATTATATCCTTTTATTTTTTTTATCAATATGTTAGTTTTTTTAATTTCTTTTACAAGAAGATATGCTAATAGCCCCTCTTTCAATCAAATTAAGCTTAATCCCTTCAGCCTTAATTTTTGATTAATAACAACAAAATAAGAGATTTGTCTATTTTAATATAAACCTATTCATTCATTAATAAAAAAGAAAGTCACATTCATATTTCTTAAAATTTATTGAATAAATTTTTTCAAATAAAATAAAAGAAAAGAAAAGCAAAATTCTTAATTTAAATTTTGATAAATATTAAAAAATAGAAACATTTCTAAAGAGGAAAAAAGAGAGATCTAATAAAGATGAAATCAAACGGAAATAATTTTTTAAAACTCCAAAAGAAGAAGGCAGTTAAAATTAATAAATCATTTCAATCACTTGAAGTGTGTGCAAAAATATAGTTTTACTGCTTCTTACTTTTAACCGCAGCCCCGTTCAAAAATCCATTTGATTTCTAATTTTTTAAATACTCTCCCGAAAATCCATTAAATCAATGATTAAAAATCTTGATGGAAGTGGTACGGAATAATCAAAATAAATAAATAAATAAAATAAATTTTCTATTTTTTATTACAAGCTCTAACTTTTAGCTCCGATTTATCTCTTTTTTAGATAAAATAAAATTTAAAATAAAAAATAAATATAAAAAATAATTAAATAAATAAAAAAATAAATAAATAAAATTAATTAAATAAATAATAATAAAAAAGCAAATAAATAATAAAAATAAAAGCAAACAAATAAAAAATATATAATAAATAATGAATAATAAAAATTTAAATAAACACTAAATAAAGTAAATAATAAAAAATATTAAAGGAAAGAATAAATAAAAAATTTTAAGAATATTATTTTTTAATTTCTATTGATGATTAAAGCCTGATAAAAATAAATTTTTTGTCATTTTATCAGTTTTTAAATAATAAATGTATTTTATAAATAACTTCTATCAAGATTAGAGTAATATTTATGAAATTTATTTTCACTTAAATTTTATAAAATTATTAAAACTTTTTGTTATTAAAAATAACTACAGGATTTATCTATTTTTTTTTATGTTAAAATTTATTAATCAATAAATTTATTCTTGTAGTCTATTTTTAATTAAAACATCTTTATCAAATTAAAATTCTTGAACTAAATTTTTTTTATTTTTTAAACCATAACTAAATAAGGTAATTAAATAATAATTGAGTAAATTTTTTATTGTATTTAAATTAATTTTTCATTAAAAATTGTATTTTTAAAACTCTAAAATAATAAATAAAATACATCATTTTTATTGGAAAACTAAATTTTAATTAATTTGCTAACCAATTAAAATTTGATTAATAATTAATTGATGTGTATTTAAGCTCAAATTTATTTAATTTTTTTTTTACAATAAATGAATTAAGTTTTAGTTAAATAGTTTAACTTTTAATTAACTAATAGCTTTATTCAGAAGATCGAAAAGTAGACTTAAACAAATACTAAGAAATAAGAATAAAAATGTATAATATAAACCTAGAAGGAGCTTTTAATAGAAGGAAATATTTTGAAGAAGATAAAATATAATAAAAAGCAAAAACTAGCTATTCATTAACTGAATATAACACAAATACCGAATAATTTAATGGTTCTTATGATCTTTATCTAGAAGATAATCTTATAAATTAAGATACCTCTAATGTATGCACTATTAATCAAGATTTAGAATAGAATCAACATTTTTGCATTCAGAAAACAGATTAATGTGATGAAAATACATCTAATAACACATAATTGAATTTAAGTTCATTAATAAATAAGAATCAGATAAGCGGATAAAATAAACAAGTAGAAATGAGTACTACTCCTAAAGCTTCTAGTACAATTTTAGAGACGATTCAAAAAAGATAATCGAAAAATGATTTAAGCTTGAAATTAATTAGTTAAAATTTAAAAGTTTAGAAAAATTCTAACTTAAACAACTCCTATAATTTAGAAAAATCCTCAGATGATTATGTAAAATTAAGCAATAGCAATGAATAAAACTAAAATATGTAAATTAAGTTACCAGAATTTTAATGTAGTGCGCCTCCTAGAGAGCAGAATCAATACAAAAAAATAATAACTTTTTCATATGTTTACAAATTTATAAGAGAATTTCTTCTTAGGTACATTTAAAGAGATGTCTCATATTTATCTATGGTTCAGTATAATATTATTAATGATAATACAGTTTTTATGGAAAAGAATAAAAAAGTTTTAAGTAGAAATAATAATAGCATTAGTTTTAAAAATATATTTGACAAAGTTAAATATTTGAGAGATAATAAAATAAAATTCTAAAATGAAACCAAATGTGAATAAAAATAATCATTTATTCAAAAATTCTTTCAAAATATTTAATCCCATTTATTTAATTTTTTAAAAAATTTATTAGTAGCCATACCTATAATAAGTCCAAATAAATTCCTCCTTTTAATATGGGATTTGCTATTTATTATTTTTTAGATAGTTTTTTTGATAATTTATCCTTTTGATATTAGTTATCAAAGCTTAATTTCATCAGATATCTTAAATAAACTTCAAATAATTTCTTTATTTGTTACTATACTTGATTGTATTCTTGGCTTTCATACTGGAATCTATGAATTTGGTAAAATAGTGATGGACAGATAAAAAATTTTTTTGGAATATACCAATAAGAGATTAGCTTACGACATCCTTAGTATATGCTCTCTACTATCAGGAATTATAACTGACATATAATTTTTTTGCATTGTTTCTCTATTTTTTAGATAAAAATCAGTAATTTTTTTTTTAAGAAGTTAAACTTTAAAAATTTAGTGATTGTGATTATTTTAATTTTCATAAATAAATTTAATTTTTTAAATAGATAAAAGGAAAATTTTAAAAAGTAATAATGGAATTGGCTTTGAAATCTAATTATTCTTCTTTTTATGATATTTTTAAGTTAGCATTTGTGATATTGTTTATTATCCATTTTTGTGGATGTGGATTCTTTTTAACTGGAAAATTATCTGTTAGCTATGGGTAATAAGAATAAAATTGGATCAATTATTGTAATTTATAGAATAAGTCTACTTAGGAGCAATATATTTTTTCAATATATTTTATAATGGTGACAATGGTCACTATTGGATATGGAGATATATACCCAGTAAATTAATATGAAAAACTCTATGTTATAGTTATATCTCTTGTTACTAGTTTTGTTTTTGGATTCTCACTAAATCTTATAGGATCTATTCTAACTGATATAAAGAAGAAGTCAGATGATTTAAATTAAAAATAATTTCAGATTCATAAATATCTAGATAGCAGAAATATCGATTTTAGTTCCTAAATAAGAGTTTTAAAATACTTTGAATTCCTAAATTACAATGAAGATTAAAATATTAAAGAAGGTAAATTATTATAATCTATTTTATTATATTTATTTCCATTTTTTAATAGGCTAAAGGCTTCTTTAATCTTGCTCAAAAGAAATAAGAGATGATATTTTAAATGAATATTTCGGAAATGTATTAAAAAAATGTATTTTATTGAAGTCAATTTTTAGCAAAGAATTTTTAGATGCTTTGAGTTTGAATATGAAAGAAAGAACTTTTGCTCCAGGAGAAGTGATAATTGAAAGAGGGGAAAAGCTTTCCTAGCTATTTATTGTGACAAAAGGGGAAATTGATTACCATTTTAATAACAAAAATTCTCAAAAAAATAAAATTGAAGTAGTTTATTTGTTACTTCTTTCATTTAAGTTTATTGAAAATATAAATTTTCTATAGACCCTTATCAATTAAGGGCAATTTAAATAAAGGCCAAGACCTTAATTTTAAAAAATATGTTTATTTAAGAGACTAGCCTTGATTTTAACCTGGTCTTAAATAAAGAGGATCTATAGTATATTAATTATTTTTCAATTTGAATAAAGCTTCAATACGAAAATACAACTATTGACATCAGAATATTTTTCAGCTAATAGCCATCAGATTTATCATTAAAGAGCAGAGGGATTACACTGGCTTCATATATAGATCACTTTGCCTTTATTGAAACTCTTTAAAATTTTTAAAGTGATAAAGTAAAAACTCATTAAACTTTATATTATTTTAAAATTAAATGCCTTGTTTTAGAAAAACCAAATGAAATTTTATGTAGTGGCAATAAAAATTATCTTAAAGCTTTAAAACTATTGCCCCCTTTTTCATAGTAAAACAAATATAAAAGTAGAAGGTAATAAATAACTTTTACAATAAAAATAAATTTTTTAAGTTTGGTAAAATTAATTTTATAAATAATTTAGATATTTTTTTTTTCATTTAACTGATAGGAAAAATATTAGCAATTAAGGGATTAGTTCATTTACGATTAGATATTTTTGTTTCCATGCAGGAGTTGTGGGTTGTACAAACATGTATTAAATGACTGTCCATAAATTAGCTACAAGGTAAGTAAAATGAGATTTTTAAGTAAATATACAGAAAATGTATATTAAGAAAGAAATCAACAATATGTTAGAAATCACAAAATATCTGATAAAAGTCAATTTAATACATTAACTTTTAGTTAATTAATCAAATAATCGTTAAAATCCTTTCGATGCAATTAAGCTAAAATGTAATATTAAATCGCTTATCCAGAATTAAATTTTGAAGAATTGGCTAATAATGAAGATGATAAAGCCTTTCTTCTGAATGTACCAAGAATAAATATAGATTATTACTTAAATAATTAGGATGTAACTTAAATTAGTAATTACTGCTTTTATAGTGATGCAACTTTAGAATATAAAAAAGTCAAAAGGTTTAAATAATAAGAAATAGAGTTTACTTCAAGCAATAGTGAAAACGATGAAAGTGATAATGTTAGCATCTTTTAGAAAATGAGTTAGTCTATGGATAATCCATAATCTTAAGTAAATAATTCATAGATAGTAAATCTTATTACTGAATAAAAAAAGATTGTAACAGCTAATTTAGCTTAACAATAAGATTAGTAGAGGCTTTTTACAAGTGATTAATAAATTCCTTCAGAAAAAAAGATAAGTATCCTCTCAAATAAGCTTAGTAATACTTAAATACCAAATTAAGAGGAATTTATGGCACAAAATTAAGAGGGCGAATTAGCATAAGATGTATATCCTTATTATTAAGTTACTAGCTTAAAAGATTTACATCAAACTAATTAAGAATTTCATAGGAATTAGAGTTAGTAGCAAAGTAAATTTAATAGAAATAAATAAGAAAAACAAAAGACTAATTTACCTAAAAATATTAATCCATCTGATAAAAAAATCTAATCAAGAAACAGCTTGACAAGATCATTAAAAGAAATAGATATTTTTAGAAGTGGTACTTATGAATTAGAAAATAAAGCTATTTAGCATACTGCTTTATAAAATATAATAGAACTGATTAGGACTTCTATATGTGAAGATCTTTAAAAAGGTAATTAGGCTCAAAATTCAATATAATTAAATAATAATAAGAAAAATTTCAATGTAAAAAATAATGAATTTACTCATCAGAGAGCAAGTAAAACTTAATCAATAAAAAAGTCTTTTACTCGAGATAGCACTTTCAAAAATAATTAACTTTCTTAATGTTTACTTTTTGGTAAATGTGGTATTGGCTTTGAAAAATATAAAGAGTACTAAAATTATTACCCTAAATAAAACTTTTCCACAGTTATTAAAACTTACAAAAAACTATAATAATAAACAAGATTAAAGAGAAACAGAGCAAATACATCTTTGAACTAAATAGCAGCTAATTAAAATAATCAAAATCGCAATAAGAGACCTACTTTCTTTTAGAAGAAATAAGGCATTTTTTAAGCAAATCCATAATAAATTTAAAAGTGATTATTGATAAATTCTGTACTTGATTAATTTTATATAAATATTTTTAAATGTAATTTCATTTTTAGAAATCATTTAATTTTTTCTGTTTAAGTGCATGATTTATTTTTAAGTAATCAATATAATTTTATAATTATTAAAGGAATGTTTATTCTTTTAACTTGAATTAAAATTTTAAAGAGCTATTAATTTAATCATATATTTAATAATTAATATATTTCCTTTAATTGATTAACAATCTTTTTATAAAATTTTATTTATTCATTTAATTATTGAGATAGATCAAAATTTAACTATTTCTTACTAGATAATATAAATTGTTTGTTAATAACTTAAAAAAATTAAAAAAATTCAGAATAACAATCTTTTTTAGCTTTATAAATTTTTTAATTAATATAACAAGTAGAATTTTGATCAATGTAGAAGTCTTAAGCTTAGTAAATAAATTCGAGTCATTTTATAATGTAAATGAAAATTTGAAATAATTTTAAACAGGTAAAAATACTAGATTCACTAAGATGGTGTCCTTAATAGAAGGAGACTCTTTCAAGAAGATTCGTTTAAAATATAAGACATAAACCATGTATCTAGCGGTCAAATAGAAGAAGAAGAATGCATATTTAAAAGCAAAACAAACATTGCGAATTTAAATTATTATTAAAACCTGAATTATGAACATAAAGAAAATGAATCAAGTAAAACAATAGATCAAACTCTAAGTCATTTTTAATAAAACAGAATTCTTGATAACTTATCAATTAAGACAAAGAATTCAATTGAAAATTTAAATGAAGAATCCATGTAATAATAAATACAAAGTCAAATTCAATTTAATGAAAGAAGATAATCGAAGTAGTTAACTATTTAAATCGATAAAAAAGATTCATACTTGACTGTTCAACAAATGAAATAAGTTAAAAAATCAAAATTAATGTAGATAATTAATAGCGATATTGATCATTAGGAAGAATAGCAAAAAGAAATTAATGGAGAGGAAGATAATAAAGATAATTAAAAGGAAGAGCAGTAAGATTAAGAAATAAAAATAATAACATTCTTTTATATATATAAATTTATAAAGTCTTTCCTTTTAAAATATGTATACTGCAATTAGTCTCTTTTACAGGCATTTTAAATGAAAATAATAAACGATAAGTCTAGCATCACTGATGAATATAAACATAGCAAGCCAGATAGAATTGTCATCCCATCAAAATAGAATAATATTTTTGATTTAATAAAAAATTTAAGGTTAAAAAGAGATGAAAACAATAGGCAATATTAGTTGATTCTTAAAAAATAAAATTTAATTTTAAATATTATTTTAAAAAAAATGAATTTTTTCATACATTCTATAGAAATAATTAGCCCTAATGTTATTCATTTACTTGTGTGGGATATTATAGCATTGCTTGCTTATTTATTTTTGATTATTGTTTATCCTTTTATTTTAAGCTTTGAAATCACCTAAGAATAATTGATCATTGTTGATTACATCCAGATCTTTTATTTGAGTATGATTATATTTGATAGCTTTCTAGGATTTCACATTGGTATTTATGAATTCGGAGAAATCGTTAAAAATAGGAAGAAGGTTTATGAAAAATATTATTAGGATAGGTTATTTTTTGACTTGATTAGCATTTCTTCTCTTCTGATAGGGGTGTTTAGTCAAAAATATATTTGCTGCTTATTCTCAATTATTTTTAGATATTCTTCAGTAATTTTTTAATCAATTAATAATATTTAAAAAATAATTCAATTAAATTTTTTTGACCATAAATTAAATTAAAAAAAATAGATTGCTGATAAAGTTTCAAGGATTAATATGAATTTATAGTTATAATCTAAGCTATAAGCATATTATGACCTCCTCAAATTGGTCTTTTATATCATCATACTAATCCATATTTTTGGTTGTGGATTTTATTTTGTAGGAGTTTATTCTAGTGAATCTTTCGATGAAAGAAATTGGATCAAAACCTAAAACTTAGTTTAAAGCTCTAAAATAGAGCAGTATATCAATTCGATTTATTTTATAACTATAACGATGGTTACAATAGGCTACGGAGATATATATCCAATTAATTAATATGAAAAATTATATACTATTATTGTAGCTTTTATAACATGCGGTTTTTTTGCCTTTTCACTAAATTTAATTGGAGAAATTGCTTAGAATATCTAAAAAAAATCAATGTAGTTGTAATAGAAATAGTAGATAATCTAGTCATATTTAAACAGTAGGTAAATAGAAAATGTTTCTCAAATGAGAGTTCTCAAGTACCTAGAGTTCTTGAATGGATCTTAAGAAGAAACTAATATAGAAGGTAAAAAATTAATTTTACATTAAAAATATTATTCAAGTTGAATACCAATCATTATTTAAATTGTATTTCTTAATAACAGGATAAAGGATTTTATAAACATGCTCTAAAAGTATAAGGGAGGACATTTTGAGAGAATATTATGGTAAAATTTTGAGTAAATGCTAAATTATTAAAGACAACTTTAGCTAAGAACTGATTAACAGATTGAGCTTGAAAATGAAAGAAAAGTCATTTGCACCAGGAGAAACAATAATAGAAAAAGGGAGCTATTTATAAGAGCTGTACTTTATAAAGTCTGGAAAAATTGAATATTTTTTCAAAACATAAAATGAAAACAAATATATTTCAGATGTAATTATTTAAAATATAAACTTTATTATTTATTTAATTTTTTTCTTTTAACAGAATGAGAACTAGATTGTTGACTTTAAAATTTTTATATCGCAATCTGAATCAGATATACAAGTAAGAAGTTAGGGCATTACTACTGTAATATATATTGAATATAATCAATTTATAGAGACATTTGAACATTTAAAGAATGACAAAGAAAAGCTATGCCAAATTAAAGACTAATTTATTTATGGGTAATCTTACTAGTATCCTTGTTAAAGTTGTGGTTAATATAAGCATACCATTTTTAATTGCCCTTAAGTGACGTTCCGAATAAATAAAAGCTAACTATTAAAAAGATATAATCACAGTCAATTTTAATAGAGAGACGAATATTTTGATAGATTTAAGTATTCTTCAAAAAATAAAAAATTTAAAACATTTTAACAAAATTATTAAGTCAAAATGGATTTGAAACTGATAAGATGTGATTTAGTCAATTATTTCTATAACTTAAAATAAGATTCTATTGCTTCATAGTAGCTTATATTGAAGATATAAAATGATAAAGAATTCTATTAAACACTACCTAAAATCTATCAATATTGGTTTAATTAAAAAGATGAGAATGAAAACGATAATAAAGACAATTTTTAAGACAAATAAATTTTCAACTCTTAATTAGGACTTTTTTACGAGTAAAATAATAATCAATATACCTCTAGTAGCTTATCTTCTTGTTCATCTGACTACTCAGACACTTTAAAACAATTAACTTAAGTGAGTAAAACTAACCAAGAAAGATGCCCGTCTATTTCTAAGCAAGAGTCTATTTAAACTAGTGTTATATTTGGAAATGAAAACTAAAAAAGCATACCTCATAGTAAAGCAGATTTAGAAGCAGAACCATAAAGTTGCCATTAGGTTCCTTCAGATAATAAGATTGCTATACCAAATTTAAATAGACATCATAATAATTGTAGTATGATTGAGGATTCTTTATCTCCTTCCTCATAGAAACAAATTCCAATCGACTCACAAAATGAGTAGAATGGAGTTGATTAATTAAAGCAGTAAATTTCTAACAAAGTAAAATTTAACATTTAAAGAAGAGAAACGCGTAACAAGACGAAAAAAGTGACTACTTTAATCGTAAATACACAACCAGATTAAAGGTAATAATCTAGGACTAGTTTAAATTCTAAAAACTATAAAGAACCTAATTCTCCTGTAGATGAGCACCACAAAGATAGTATAATGAATACGAATGCTATAAGTGGACATAATACATCTAATATCCAAGTAATCTAATAAAAAGGAATGCACAGGGTGAGTTTAGTCTAATATTAATTATAAGAATAAATAAATATGTTATAAGATTTACTCAGAAGTTAGAAAAGAAATAGTAGCAGAGGTTTTACTTAAAATAATAGCACTTTATCCAAATTAAAGAGCATTAAATACTAACAGGACATAAAAGGATTATACATAAATCCCAATTCACATTAAAACATTAATTTTAATAATAAACATCATAGCAGGCTCAAGAATTTGAGTTTCCAAGATAATGCTACATTTTTTGAATAAGATTATATCTTTGGTAAATGTGGTAAAGAATTTGAAATTGTCAAAGAATTAGAATTTTATTTCCCAAAGTTTAACTTTACTTAAGTTATAAAATCATATAAAAAGTTCTTGTCATTTCAAAAAAGATAAAAAAATTAGTAAGAAGATTATGGTTTGCTTAAAAGTGTTAAAAAAAATATGAGTATGAAACCAAAAACTTAGTTTTTTAAAGCAGTATGATATAATTATTTTAATTATATTTATCTTTCTCTATCTATAAAAATATCTTTTAATCTTTCCATATTATTATTTAGTTATTTATCACTTTAATAATTTTTAAAAAAAAATTTTTTAAATTCAAATATAATTTAAAAAAAAACACAAAACATATTTTATTAAAAAAAAAATAATAAATATTTATAAAAATAGTCTTTAATTTTTATCAAATAATTCCTACAAAACAGAAAAGATGTTTGGTTTTTGACAATATAAAAGAATAAATTTTTCCTTATAATAATTAAAAACAAAATAATAAGTAAATTAAAATAATAAATTTTACATAAAATGCTAATGGTTGCTAATGGTGGATTGATAGTCCAAAATAAGAAGAATTTTATTTTAATAGAACAATTAAACATTTTTATGCAATATATACTTTAAAATTTTTGATATTTTGACGGAAAAACGCCAATAGGATTATATTTTTAAATATTTACACAAAATTTGTTATAACAAAGAACTAAGTACATTTTATATTTCTTATTCATTACTTACTTAAAATTATTTTATTGAAAATTATTCTCTCTGGAAAGTGAATTTTTTTCTAGATTTAATTTAATTTTAATATATATATATATATATAGCATTTCATGAATAAGCTCTCAACTAGATCAATATAATAAATAAATATTCATTTAATCCTTTTTTTATTATTTTAAAAATAAAATTAAAAATTTTAAATTCTATTATTAATTTTTTATAATAGTTTTATTAATTATTATATTATATTTTAATTTGTTTTTATTTAAGTTGAAGTCAAATAAAAATAAAAAAATTTACTTAATTAATTTTCTGAAGCTTTTAAAAATCTCAAATTCAGATTGAAATTTGAAATTTTGATGAGATTTTATAAAATTTTTTTTATTTCATTTCAAGATATTTTCATTTAATTTATAAAACGAACTTAATACTTCTTTTTTCTTAAGAATATTTAAGAAAATATTATTTGATTAAATAATAAATATTTTCTTTTAAAATAATAATACATATTTTAAGTAAAAAATCATAAAAATATATTTAATAATAAAAATTAAAATAAAATTATTTATTTAATAAATCGAAATAGCAAATCGAGGAATTAAATTCTTAATTTTCTACATCCACAAGAATTTAATACCTGTAAGTGCTGTACTGAAGATTATCAAATAATGAAAAAAATTTCATTTATAAATAGCTTTTCATTAAAAAAAAAATATTTATACTTTTCCAAATCTTCTAAAATTTTTTATTTTTCAATAAGATGGTAAGTAAATCTAAAATATTTTATTTACTAAAAATCAATAAAATGTTTTATAAAAATTGATTTATATAATTTAATAAAAATTTTAATTAATAATGATATATTTTTTAATAGTTATTTATCTGATTTTTAAAAATGTATATTAGTACTTTCTGAGGATAGATCTTAAAATACAAATCTTTATTAATGAAGAGTAATATGATGTATATAAACCATTTAAAAATATATGAAATAAATATACTCGATTTTATGTAATTTATTTATAAATTATTATTAAATTTTCGTTTTCTTGAAAATAGCATATATCTTAAATAATGAAAAACGAAACAAAATAATAATTTATTATTTATTTATTTTACTATCTTCATGTTGTGTAATAATTCATTATGTATAACCTAAAACTTAAGTAAGATGCAAAAATTCTCTTACTGTATTCCAAAATTCAAAATTTTATGCCTCTTTCATTCTCTCAGAAATTTCATCTGCATCAGGTCCAAGCTATTTTACAGCTAAATAGAAGTTAGACCTTGTTTCTGTATTTCTTAAATATTTATAGCTTTGGTCTTTTTCCTTGTCTTTTCCTTTATAAAAGCCGACCTTTAGTATATACAATTTATGTTCTTAATTTTTTTAAATATTTCATTAATAAAATTAATATTTACTTTGTTAGAATACCACGTTGTTAGAATCCAATCTTTTTCAGTATTTTCTATGAATGATTCTTCATAATCCTATTTAAAAATCAATTTTTATTAATTTTTTTTCTAACTTTAATATTTTATTTATTACAGGATTTAATCGAACAAATGTTAATAGCTAATTGACACCTATGCTTTTATTTTATTTTGTTGATTTGAAATAAAAACCACTTACTGCTTTTGATATATCATTTAAACAATTATCTAAACAGTCCTTATCCTTTTTAAATTAATTTTTTAAGTTAAAATATGCAAATGAGATTTTTTAGAAAAATAATCAAATCTAATAATTACAAAAGTATCATTTAAATAAAAGATTTAATCAAATCGATGTATTAGATTAAAATATATTCAAATCTAATAAAATATTGAATAATTCATCTATTCATTAATGATTTTCAAATACTAGATAGCATCTGACCATAATAAAATTTTATTTTATTTTTATTTTATTCAATTTAATTTTTTGGGTTAAATAATTTTAAATTTCAAATTATCTCATTTTTAAATGAGATAAAATGTTAAAAATATTTAAAAGAAAGTTTTTAAGAGAGGAAAAAAGCTTACTTTTATAAGTAGATCAGAAATTATAGCATCGTTACTTTATGGCATTAAATTAACTCCACATTTTCTAAGTTCCTTTATATTAATCATTTAATAAAAAATATTTAAATATTAATTAACTAATTACCTATAAAAAGTGAGATGGTGATAATTTAACTCCTTTCATTTTCTCTAACAAAAAGTGTTAATTAACATCAATTAATTCTATTTGATTTTTGCTCAATAAAAATTTAAATGCAAATCTTTTAGTGACTAAATCTATTCTAGCTTTATCAGGAGAAATAGAGCGAATATGCCACTACCTATAAGGGTAATCTTCACATCTACTTTAGACAAGAGAAAAAGGAACAAATTTATTAGAACTAAAACTTATCTGCCTTAATTCTTCATTGAATTTAATATCTTAAACTTAATCTGTCTGCCAGCCTAGATTTTCCTTAATGCAAGATATTATTATTTACTAATACTTATTTTTAAAATTTTTATTTTTTTTACATCCCAAAGCCCAATCTATAGAGTCTCTGCAAGTATGATATATTTTGGTACTTGAAAAGATATTTTTACGGGTACAAAATTCTTAAAAATGGATGGATCCCTAGAGTCAATAGTTTTGTCAGGATAAAATAATTATACAATATCATCTTTGTTTTCTTTCTGAAATTTTAGAATGTATTCTATCAAATTTTAAAATAATTAATGAATATTGTTTATTTATGATTTTTTATGCATTTCTTTCTCTTTTAATATAAATTATTTTTACACATTTTAAAATTATTTTGTATTTCATTTTATCTTTTAATTTAAATAAATTACTTTTGTAAATCTTTGGTAGTATTGGCAGCTCAAAGAGCTAGAATTGAAAAACTCCACCTAAGCTTAAAAGATGGGAATATTAAGCTTAACAATAATCAATATCTATCCAAAATCCTGTCATTAAAACCTTACTTTGAATATAAGGTCTTGGCACTTCAATAGATACCTTTGTGTTAATATATTCTACAGGTTTGATTCTCAGTCCTCCTTTTCCGACAGGGTTTATCCAAAACATGTATTTAATTTTCGGTAGTTCTACATATTCTTAAGTGATTTCGACTTTTTGTCTTTCTTCAAATGCCGTTGACTTAATTAAGCTCGCAAAATCAAGTCCTTGTTATATTACTAATTATTTAAATTATTATGAATGTTATTTTTACTATAAATGCTTTATTATAATAATTTTTTACTTTCTTATTTCTTTTCTTCTTATAATTAATCAGAATACTATTTCAAATAAAAATTAAAGGATTAAGTGAAAAATATTTTCTAAATAATTTCTAAAAATGAATAAATAAATAAATAAATAAATACTTGGAGTATTTTAATATGCAAGTCTTACAGCTTCATTAAAAGAATATCTTTAATGGCATTTAAAAGTTTATTGTACCAATCTATTTCTTCTTACGGTTTTTCTTCTGCATTTAGTCTAACTAGGTAGTTTTCAATGTCTTGGTAATTCTATAGAGATTTTTATTTTTTAATTAGAGAATATATTTGATTGTGGTGGTTGTTACATCCAAGGCTAATTATAGTTTTAATAAATATTATTCTATGGATTCAGATTTATCTAAAGTTAGGTTTGTTTCTATTTAAAATCTGTAAGAATCTAGCTCTAATTTATTATGAAGCCTCAACTTTCCTCTGTTGCATTATATAGTATAATCCCAACTCTCTATTATGAAAAAATACTTAATATTGATTTATATTATAATAATAAATACCTTTTTGTCTAATCTTTTTGAATAGACTTATTTGCCTTTGATGATAAAAGTTATTTAATTCTACAATTTTTTCTTCCTCTTTTTTCAGTCTATCTTTTTCAATACTTAAATACTATTCTTCTTCTTTTCGCCTTTACTTTTCTATTCCTATTTAAAAAGTGTATTCCAATTTACTACTAACTTTTGTAAACTAAAATAAATTTACTGAACCTTTCTTCCTCTTTTTATTTTTGTATTCTTTCTATGTCTTTCTTCTTTTTTTTGAGCACTTTAAATTATTTTTAAATAAAAATATTTTATTTATTTATTGATAAATAAATGTTGTTAATTAGTTTTTGTTTTACATAATTATTTTTCTAGCTCCTTTTTTTTTTTAGATAGCTTATCTTCAGGTCTTTTTTTTTTAGATCCTTCTGTAATTATTGTCTTAGATGGAACTCTTTTTTCCTCCATACTCATGCCATCAGTAGTATTCATCTTATATAATTTAAATTTATTTATTTTTTAGATAATTTGTAAATTTTTACCATTTTTTAAATTGATGGTAAAACTTTATTAGATTTGTTTTGTTTTAAAGTAGATCTTTTGAAGTTAATTATAGATTTAGTTTTATTAGCTTAAACCCCTCCATTAAATATATCATCATCAGTATCTTCTTCATATTCTTTATTCTTCTTATTTGATTTACTTTTGGATTTAGATGCTTAAATTAGTTCGTTATTTTATGCTTATTAACTTTAATTTTAAAAATTTGTAAAAGTCAAATCTGTATTGCTTTCACTCCTTTTTTTAAAAGAGTCATTAAATACTATGCTTTCATAATCTTTCTCTGATTTTATTTGAGGTGATTACAATTACTGTTCTACATTATTTTCATTATTTTTTTATATTTTTTTCTTCTCTTTACTATTTGCAATCTTTTTGTCAACTTTTATTGTTTTTACTTTTGTTACTTTTTCATCATTTTCTTCATTTTAATTATTTTTAGATTTCTATGGCTTACTTTATTTTTAATCTGCTTTGTTTTTCTTCTAAGTCTACTACTATTGCTATTCATTTTCTTTGTTAATATCAATTGCTTCCAAATTTTCATTTGTCCTCTAAGGAGATTATGATCTGGATGTCTTAATCCTAAACTGGTTTTACTATTAAGTAGTAACTTTTACATCTTTAACAACTTACTTTTATAAAAGTAATCTAAATAGTTAAAAAAATTTATGGCACTAAGTAAAATTACTAAATTAGTAGCTATTTTAGGAGACTAAACATCAAATCTATTTTCTCTGCTATTTTCGCTCATGTTTATTTAAATTTTGTTACTTAAATGCTTAAATTTGAAAATTCTACTTTTATAAATGTTTTTGATTTAAACAGATAGATTATTGAATTAACTATAAGTAGAAGCTATAATCTAAATTTCAAGAAGTTATTGTAATCTACATGAATCAGTTTAATTAATATATTCATTACAAAGCTTTTAAAAAATGTATCTAAATAAAATATAACATCCATATTCATTAGCTGAAATAAGTATATAATTGTTATTTGTAAGTGTATAAATATCAATAACTTATTGTAAAAATTTACCAGTCATTTTAAATTATTATTCATATCCATTTTAAATCTATATTAGTTGTATTAATTGTCATGATAAATGAGAATTTTTACTTAAAGGCATTGTTTTTGAGTGATCAATTTAATGATTCAATAAATAATACTTACTGAAACAAGAAAATCAAAAAACATATATTTATTTTTGATAGGTAATTGTTTTTAAATAATATACCAAAAAATTATTTATAATTAATAGTTTTTTTTTATTATTTTAAGTTTCAATAAAATAAAATATTATTTCAGTATTAAAAACAATTAATAGGTTAAAACTAAAAATATTATAAATATCAAAGATATAAAATTTCAATAGAAAATTTAAAAACTAACTTGAATTGAAACTAAAAAAAAATACAAAAGTTTATTCTTATCAATTTAAAAATGTAGTTTTATATTTCACAAATAAATATATTTATAAAGAGGAATTATAAAATTTTATAAATAGTATGATAAATAAAGATTATTATTCTTAATTTGAGAGGTTTACTAGCAATAATACATTATTTATTAAAATTTTTTAGCATATATATTATTTATTAAAAATTGATTGCATAAATTTTGCTTTAGTAAGAGTTTGTTTAAAGGCATTAAAAGGTTATTCATTAATAATAATAAAAAAAAAGGTAAGAAAGTTAGCTAAAGTTTTGTGATTTAAATAAATTAATATCAAATAAATCATTACTAAATAGAATTATAAAAACAAACGCTATCATATATTATTTTCTGTTTATTTGAAATCCCATTATTTATCTAAGAGTAACTGCATTCAGTGTCTTTGTATCTTCAAAAATTATATTAATGTCTATCTTAATCAAGTATTTTTTTTTTATTTTAATAACCTTTTCTCAAATAGTTTTTCAAAAATAAATAGTAGAAGTATTTATCAAATTAATAAAGATGGAATAGAAAATAGAAGAAAGCTTTTTGAAAGTAAGCAGATGAAAAAAAATGAAAAAGAGTAGAGTGATGAGAAAATAGTGTTTTAGGAAACTTTTTAAAATCGTGATAAAGATGAAAATTAAGAGCAAAATATGTTTGATTTTTTTACTTTAAGCTAATAAGAAAGCATCGTTAATTAACAAAAAACAGATAATCAACAAAAAGAATAATTACAAATTAATTATAATGATGCATTAGATGCCTCTAAAAATGATGATAGTCTTTAGAATATGAATTAATCTACTCACATTAATCCAATTAATTTGTAAGCTATGGTAAAACGAGATGCTTTAACACCAAGATAAAGATTTAGCAATAGAAAAATAACTAAAAAAGATATTAACTTTATAAATACAATAATCAACAGGAGCTAATTCAATACTAGCAATACTCCTAATAATCGGCTTGAAAAAAGTAGATTAAAAATTTCAAATTTAGCTAGTTATTTTTAGTTAGATGGTGATAAAAACCTTGAGCCAACTTATTTTAAATTATTATCATTCTTTTATGCTTATAAATTTTTAAAGACTTTACTTACCGGGTTCATAAATTAGAATATTTATTTTTTATCAGACTTACAAATGAAAATAATAAACGATAAGTCTTATTTTGCTCAAGGAATGAGCTTTAAAAATTAATAATAGACAAATGACACATAAAGATATTCGAATATATTTGAAAGGCTACTAAACTTGAGAACATAATAAAATACTGAATAAAATATAATATCAAAATAAAGTTTTAAGATAAAAAGATATTTTAGCTCATTTATTTAATTCTTTTCCAGACTCTTATTTAAAAGCTTTGTGATTATCAATCCAAATAATTTATTTTTAAAGCTATGGGACTTGATTTATTTACTTTTTTTTTTTGCTATATTTTTAACTTATCCTTTTTATTTATGCTTTGTGAATGGAGAAAGTGATTCTTTACCAAAATAAATTGTATATATAATATAAATAATTTAAATCATTACATCTTTATTTGATATTTTGCTAACTTCCTAAACAGGTATTTATGTTTTTGGAGAAATAGTCCTTAAAAGAGAGATAATTTATAAGCAATATGTTTCTCAACTCCTCACTTTAGATACCTTCTGCATTTTGGTATAGTTATTAGGAATTTGGACTGGCTACGGATTTCCTAATTTTTTAGCTATTTTGTTTCGGATAACTTCGGTAATAATTAATAAAAATGAAAATCTTTAAAAAATATATAAATAATTTTTAAAAAAAGGTCAAAGATAAGTTTTCTAGAATGGATTGGCACAGAAAGTTAAAATAAAAACTTTCATCATACTATGATCTTATTAAGTTGATAAGTTTCCTCCTGATAGTAATTCATATTTTTGGATGTGGATTTTATTTTGTAGGATACATATCGGTAAAAAGTGGATTAGAAGAAACAAATTGGATCATAAAAAATAACATTTAAAATTCAAATATTTTCGATTAATATATCAGATCGATTTATTTTATAACAATAACAATGGTTACAATAGGTTATGGAGATATAACTCCAGTAAATTCTATAGAAATAATTTATTCTGTGTTCATTTCATTCATTACATGTGGATTATTTGGCTATTGCATTAATTTTATAGGTTCAATTTTTACTGAACTCTCTAAAAAATCAAAGGAATTTTAAAAAAAGTTATTAGTTATTACAAAATACTTGAATAGCAGAAATATAGACTAATCTAATCAAATAAGAGTGCTAAAGTACCTAGAATATCTTGATGAGTCATAAGAAGAAAATATATTGGAAGGTAAATAAATAAATAATAAAACAGAGCTTAAAAATTAGTTACAAATTGTTTAATTATTAAAAAGGCTACAATATTTTGAACAGTTGCTCAAAAGACATAAAAGAAGATATCATGAAGTAATTCTATGGTTCAGTCATAAAAAAAAGCAGGCTATTTAAAGATACATTTAGTAAAGAATTCATAGAATCTTTAAGTTTAAAAATGCAAGAAAGATGCTTTGCTCCTGGAGAAACAATAATAGAAAGAGGTTAGAAATTAGAGAGTCTTTATTTTATCACAAGAGGGTAGACAGAATATTTTTTTGATAAAAAAGATCAAAAAAATTCAATATGCATTGTAAATTTATTATAAAGTCAGTATTTTACTAAAAATTTTCCAAATAAATAAAAATAGTTTGGAAATCAGGTTATAGACTTAAGAATTTTTATGGCTTAGTAGAAATCTGATATTTCAATAAGAAGCAAGGGCATAACAGTAGTATCATACTTCGATCACTAAACTTTTCTAAATACAATTTGCCAGTATTAGGAAGATTATGTATTATTTTCGATCTATTTTTTTCACTATTTTAATAATTAAATAAAATATTATTAAATAAAATATAAATTTAAAAAATATTTAATTTAACTTATTAAATACTTATGATGTTTTTTAAATCTAATTTATTTCCAAAAGAAAATGCTCCATTTAAATTATTTAAGATAATATCATTGTTTTAGTTAAATTTAATTAATTTGCTATGGAGTTTTTAACTTTAATTAAATGGAGTTAATTTTTAATTTATTTTTTCAACAATCTAGCTTTTTTATCATTTTATTTAATTTTTAAAAATAAAATTGTAATTTTAAATTATAGGAGAAGTATATTTAATTGAGAGATTAGTTTTAGAATGACCAAAGATTTTAGTATCCTTGTAGAAGTTGTGGATAATATAAGCATAATATATTTGATTGCCCCTAGATTACATTGTAAGTTGATAAAAGTGCTTTTTTGAAAAGATTTACAATTAATTATGATTAAGAAAGAAATTTTGAAAAAAGCAAAAGAAGAACAAATAAATTTTAAAGTCTAAGCTAAATACATTTAGTTAAAAAGAAACTCAAACTTGCTAGATATAATGTTATTTCAAACTTAATTGATGGATATGACTCTTTAAAAAATACCTCAACTTTCTTTGAAAACAATGATGATAAAGAATTTTTTATGCTTCTCCCTAAAATAAATTGTTTAAAGCTAATTGAAAGCTACAAAAAAACTGATGAATATTAAATAGATTTAACTCGTTAGAAGCTTTAAACAGAAACATTAATAAATGTTAAAAACATATAATTTGCAGATGATATACTTTAGTATACTGACTCTATGAGTAGTAATAGTAGTAGTGAAAGCTCAGATGATGACTCTTCAAGCTAGCAAAGTATTGATGAAAATGATCAAAAATTATGTTCTAAAAGTTAAACTAGCCGCTAAAGTTGTGGAAATAAAAATGAATTAAATTCTTGCTCAAAAGTTACTGAAGAAAATAATAGCATAGCAAATTTAGAAGATGAAAACAAAATAAATACTAAAAATTAGGCTGATGATGATATTCTGAATTAAACTAGTAGATATTTTCAAAAAGAAAAACATAATTCATTTGCTTCATTAATTAGCCAAGATTTCACTAGAGGACATGAAAATTAAAAAAATAACACTTGTTCAAATTATGCAAATAATAAAAATTTAGTTTAATTTTTTAATGAAGAAAATTCTATTTTAGAAAAAAGCAGTACTTCTGATTTTATAACATTTAAATAAAGAGGAGGACATAAACACAACTCATTAATATAAAATTAGCATTCTCTGAACTAATCAAAATATAAAAATAATCAATTGTCATCAACAAATATTACCCTTGATGGAGAAGAAATCAATAAATGTATATCCTAATAAAAATCATAATACGTCGGACTGAAATAATATATGTAAGGTAATATCGAAAGCTTTAGTAATAACAATAATAACACCTAAAATATTAATTAAAATTATGCTAATGTCACAAATAGTAATAATCCTAATAATACTGAAATTATCAATATGTAAAAAAATTTTATTGATCAAATGAAATATATTTTAAGTTAGTTAGAATAAAACAAAACAAATTTGAAATCAATTGATAAATAAGACATAAAAGAAAGATATCATAAATAATCAACTTTAAACACAAAAAGTGAAAGACGAAAAAGTAAAATGCTTGCTTTTAATCTGAATAATTAAATTGGTAGTTAAGTTTTTAAAAAAAAGAGTACCTAAGACATTTTTGACAAATAATAAACAACTCATTTTTAAAATCCCATAAAAGATTTTATAGACTATTAAACTAATTTTATTCATTACTAGAAATCAGATTATCAGTAAACTAACAGTTTAGCTTAATAGAACACAGATTGTTTGTTTGGTAAGTGTGGGTTTTATTTTGATGCAGTTAAAGAATACTAGCATTATTATCCAAAATTTAACTACACTTGTGTTATTAAAGCATATAAAAGATAAAAGCAGTTTTAAATTAAGAACATCAAATAATCTCCCATTAAATAAAATACCATAAAATAAAATGAACATCAAGTAATTATTAAATAATAAAAGTCTAGTTAAATAGATTTAACGAATAATCAAAGTTAAATTAAGCTCTGTGGAAGTTTTTCTTGAGTAATAATAAAAGACTAAATAAAACCTTAAAAGAGGAAGTTTAAACTTAAAAAAAATCTTCAAAATAAAGATAGATTTGTTTTATGAATTTCCTCAAATTAAAAGTAACAAAGTATTTGTAATTAATTGTATTTATGTTAACTTGTTAATAAAAAAATAAATAATTTTAGAAAACCTAACAATATTAGTAAGTTGTTTGTTTGTCTGTAAAAAAATTAATTGTATTCTTTTTTTATATCTTTAAATCAGAAATATTCAGAGTTTTTAATGGTTAACATTTATTATTTTATTTTTTAAAGAGTTTAAAAATATCTATTTTTAAAATTGGAAGAGAACATATGTAAAGTAAGTAAATTGAATTAAAGCTTGACTAAAATATTTAGAGTCTTATATGAAAACTTATGATATTAATTAATTCATAAAAATTTATTAGAAATTTATTTAAGTAGAACATAAATAGTATTATAATTAAACATTTTTATTTCTTAAATTAAATTTAAGAATTTTAAGACACAAGTACATTAAAAAATTTTATTAATGATTATTGAGGAATTAAATAATAGAGATGATTCTGAGATTTCTAACGCTTAAAGTATTGAATACACTTTCAGTGAGAAACTAAAGTTTACAGATATACTCACGAGATCATTGTCTCTTTAAAAGCGATTATCTGAGCTAGATTAACCACATAAGTTTACAATTTAACCTATAACTGGAAATGAATACGGGATGATTCTAATTGAATAGCCTATAATTCCAACTATATAAGAGCAGAGATTAATGGTAAATGTATGTATGTTATAGAGTTTAAGTGCTCTTAGAGGCTGTATGAGAATAGGGATCGTTTCAAGAATAAAAACTCAAGAAAGCAAATTTGTCCTGAAAAAATTTAATAATCATGGGTGCTTTATGTTTTCTTAAGATGGGATAATCCTACATGATCAAGATTAAAAATAGAATTTAAAAAAGATAACTGATTTCTCTTTGATTCAAGGAGATATCTTACATCTTGTTTATGAAAGCCCATCTAAGACTTTTTCAATAGAAAACCATAGTGCTAATACAATCCATACTTTACATAATGTTGATTTAGATAATAAAGAGAATATAGATATTATAAATAATATGGATTAATCCAGTAATGAAGAAATAGATTAAATTAAATAGAATAATTATGATAAAAACTATTCTTTTATTTCATCTGTTTCGGATCAACAAAAATTTTAATAAAAAAAAAATCATGCAACTTAAAAAAACTAAGTCATAGGAAATAGATATTAAATTACTGAAGAAGAGGAAGAGCTGGATGAACAAATCGAAACTTATCATTTTGCATTTATGATGGGAATAGGTCCATCTAAAATACAAATATTGTGAAAGGAATAATAATTTAATTAATTTATTTACTTGTTAATCACTCTGTTAATATAATTTTATAATAATTAAACATTTGTTTAATTTTTATTTATTATTAATGTTACTATTGAATTAAATAAAATTTAATTTTAATTAAAAAATCTTATTTTATTTAAAACATATCATAAAATTTTATCTAATTATATTAAAAATCTTCTCTTTATTTAATGAAATATTTTAATTTATTTAAACTAAATCAGTCAGATTTTTTTTTTAATTTATGAATTTTAAAATCAATATTGTTAAAAATCCCTTTAAACTAATTTAGAACTTATGTTTTAATTTAATATGAATAATTCTATCTATTAATTAATTTACCTAAATAATTTTATTGATGAAGTAAATTTTAAAATAACTTCTATTGAGTAAAAACAAAATGATTTTCAAAAAATAAATGATTAGAATAATAATAAAATGATTTATTAAAGTTATTGAATATTACACTAAAAAAATACATAAAATAAGAATATATATTTTTAAGAAAATAATTTAACAAAAGATTTGAATGAATTTGATTTGTTAGATTTTTTATATGTATTAACAAGAAAGAATGTGTTTTATAAGAAAATAATTTAAAAAAAGATTGGAATGGGTTTAATTAGTTAACTTTTTTATATATTTTTTTAAATAAGCATTTTAATTTTTTTAATCAGGATTATTTTAATATAAATAAAATCCTATTAATTAATTATTTAGTTTGATTCAGGGTAGTTAGTTAGTTAGAAGAGCAAATTAAATTAAGATATAAAGTTAGTAAATGAATTAGCAAAGAGAGCTATCAAGTTATGAATTGAGAGAAATCTTTGATAGAGATAATTTTGATCCAATTTAGTATATCAATAATAGATTTCCTGATGAAAATTCTTTATGTCATTTAGATAATGAAATTGCTATGCTCAAAGAAGAATTATAAGCAATGAATGAAGATTTAGTGCAATCAATTCATAATCATGCACTTACAAATACGTAATTGCAAAATGAAATAAAAGTAGCCCATGAAACTACAAAAGATGTAATTTAGCAAATTTAAATTATCAAAGAGAAGGCAGAGAAATCAGAAGAATTAGTGTTTGATATGTGTAAGGACATTAAATCTCTTGACACTGCTAAGAAGAATTTAACATTTTCTATTACAGCATTAAAGAAATTTATTATGATGTTAAATGCTGTTGATAAATTGCGTAATTCCTGTATCGATAAAAATTATAAGGAAGTAGCTAATCTTATCTCTGCATTCAATGAACTGTCTACCTACATATAAAAATACCAAAATATTCCATAAATTCAAGAACTTTACAAGGTAAAAAATATTTTTTAACAAAAATTTTTTTTTCTGTTTATTGAATAAAAAATCTAAGAATATCTTTCGTTTTCAAATTAGCAAGCAATTAACTAACTAATATGATTTATTTAAAAAACTTATCCAATTTAAAATTAGGAATACGATGAAATAGCTTATGAATTGAAATAGTAACTTAAAGAAGATTTTGAAGCTTTCAACAATTAAAGTACTACTTTAACAGCATAAGCCATGAATGAGGCTTGCATGGTAGTTGAAAATTTAGGATTAAATTTTTATAAGGAAGTTATTGATTTTGTTTGCAAACTTTGTTTGAATTCATACGTATCAGCTTTTTCTAAACCTGAAAATTAAACTCTAGATTAACATGAAAGAAGATTTGCTTGGCTCACAAGAAATATAATGGAATTTGATAAGAAGTGGGAAGGAGTTTTTCCTGAATATTGGACAATTTCTTGCAAATTAATACATGAATTTTGCAGCTAGACCTTTGTAGGTTGTGTTGATGCTTTACAAAAATATGCCAGGAACACTGATGTTAAAATTTTCATGTTAGCACTTTCAGTAAAATATTTAATTTTTTATCTTTATTGATAATTAATATATTTTTTATTTTTAGTCAACAGTTGCTTTTGAATAAAAGATTTCAAAAGACATGGAAAGAAAGTATAGAAAATATATTAATGAAATTAATTCATTGTAAGATGCTCAAAACTAAGAATCTAACAGCATTGCTGAGCTACTAAAGACTAAAAAGGATTTCGTTTAAACAAGACTCCCTAATTTCAAAGGAGTGATTTCCAAAGCTTTTGAATAATATTTATAACCTTATTCTGATATCAAGAAATAAGACATAACTTCATGTATTAATAAAGCCATTTATGACGATTCAATTGAAGAAAATTTGAAAGTATTTAAATCATATCTAGATTTGTAAGGCTTTATCAATTCATTTATAAAAGAAGCAGAGAGTTATGGTATGAACTAACTCATAATTGAAATGTCAAGGGTATAAATATATTTTTTTAGTTAATTTTATTCTAAATTTAAATTTGCTTGATGTATATAGGTTGTTAAGCATGGTCTTAGATTTTATGCAGAAAGATTAACTTAAAGAATGGAACAAGAATACAACAACACAATTAAATCAAGAGATCATGAATAGTTTTAAATATTTGTTGGATGCACTATAAATACATCTGAATGCTGGAAAGAAAATATAATAGGATTGGAAGATACTATTAAGAGTAAATTAGATGTAGCATACCATGATAATTTAGACATTCAAAATGAAAGTAACATCTTTTCAGACGTTATAAATAGAGGTATTGAGTTTTACCTTTAGTATATCGAATGGGGCACTGATAGCAACTTTAATAGCCTTACAAAGTTAAATTGGTAACAAATGTAAGCTATAGATAATGCTTGCGATTCGAATGATTGTATTAAGGAGATTAAGAATTTCATTTTACACCATATAAATACTATTAGAACATAATTTTCAGAAGTCTACCTCTTCTTTTATCTCAAGAAACTTGCATTACAAATTAATTAAAAGTTCCTAAACACTGTTTATAAACTGAAATCCCTTGGAGAAGGTGCTGTTCAATAATTGATGGTTGATGCAACTGAGCTAGAAACAAGTCTTATTGATTTAGCAAAGAGTGAAGAATAGTAATCAAAAACAATATAAAATTATGTGACCAATGTAAAGAAATCATTTAACAAAACAAAAAATATTCTTAAGCTTCTTAATATGGGTAATCAAGAATTTATTGATAACTTCACTAATTTCTTTGAAGATGCAACAGTCATCGATCTTGAAAAACTATTGATTGTTAAAGGTATCAAAAAGACAGAAGTACCTTAGCTATTCAAAGTTGTTGGAAATAAATGAGAAATTTGAAGCATACTTTTTAAAAAACAAATTGAAAGACATTATTTAAAATTTTTAAGCTTAGGATGTATTAATTCTTTTTAATTTAAAAGTGTTTGTTTATTTATTAGTATTTTTTACATGAATATGAATAACAAAGTATTTTGGAAATGGTAGTAAGTGGGAAATTTGAAATTTTCTTTCTCTATTTTAAATAAATTAATTTTAAAGAAGAAATTTAATTTATTTAAAATTTTGAGTTAAGAATATTTTAATCCTTTTTAGTTTAAAAGAGTTTGCTTGTTGATGTTTTTTTATATGAATGCGAATAACAAAGTATTTTAGTAAGAGTTGAGAAAATTAAAAATCAAGTCTTACTTGTAGAAATCATTAAATTGATTGATCAATGTTATCAGGAAATTTTTATTGATTGGCTGATGACAATTTTTAATATAGATAAAAGTAAAAAAGTAAATTAAATAAATGATAATAAAAATGTTTACTCATTCAATATTTGAATATAAATTAAACTGAATAAATCCTTAAACAATCGCTTTTAATTTTGTAAAGCAAATCATTAAAAAAGAAAAGAAAAAAAATTAACTTTGCATTATAATTAATTTTTGGATTAATTGAAGAGATACTTTCTTATTTATCTTTAGAAACAGTTTAGTAAGAAAATTTGTAATAAATAATAAAAAATTAAAATGTCTTCCAGTTTTGATGATGATACTGAATCAAATAACAATATCAGAGAGTAGTTTATCGGTATTGGTGATTAAAAAATGAAATAAAACAATCAATTATTAGATATGAATGCTAGAATTGAAAATGTTAATTAAATAGGATACTAAGTAAACGCAGATCTAAAACAACAGGGAGATAAACTTTAAGTTATTAATAGAAGAGTAAAACCGTTATTTTTTCCTTTAAATATTATTAATTGCATATTAGGATGATGGATTTATACTTTAGATTAACTTTAATAATTTTTATGTTTTAAATTAATAGGTAAAAGAAACTAATCATGAAGCTGATAAAGTTGACAAAATAACTAATAAAATGAGAAGAAGATAGTTCTATATGAATTGCCTTCTTTACTTTGTCGCTTTTGCTCTCTTTATATCAATTATTGTAGTTTTAGGAGTTAAATTAAGTAAAAAACTTAATTGATTATTCGCTGAGACCTTCTTTAGAAAATCTCTGTACAACATATAGTAATACGCCTTAACTTAGTAAAATGTTAATAATCAAGCAAGGAAGCATATAAAAAATCAAATAAGCAAGTGGTACGATAGATGATTTAGAAACAAATAAAAAATACTTTAATAAATTATATTCTTTTATAATAAATTAGCCTTAATTATATATAAATAAATAATAAAAATAACTAAGCAAATTATTTCTTGTTTTGATTTACATATGTTTTAGTATAAAAATCTTAATTTAGTAAGGAAATTTTAAATAAATAAAAATTAAAATGGCTTCCAATTTTAATGGTTAATACTGAATTAAATAATAAAATCAGGTAGTAATTTATAGATAATTATTAGAAAGTGAAATAAAATAATAAATTCTAGAATTGAAAATCCAAATTAAATAACAATCTTAATAAATTAAAAGTTAAAAGCAAAGGGAGATAAATTATGAGTTATTTTTAGAAACAAAATTTTTTTTATCCTTTAAATATTTATTATTTTGTTACATATAGGTAGATGGATTTATATTTTAGAGAAATTGTATTCATTTTTATTTTTGTAAATAAAAGACCAGAAATTAATAATAAACCAGGTAAAGTGAATTTATAACTAATAAAATGAGATAGTTTTATATGAAATGTCTAATTTAATTTGGTGCTTCTGTTCAATTTTTGTCAATTCTTAGTTTTAAGAGTTAGATTAGGTTGCATTCATTATTTATTGAGAGCTTCTTTAGAATATCTAAGTATAGTTAAAAGCATTCATATTTATTTTAGTCTTAGATTCAAATAAACGGGGTTGGGGTTGGGGGTTGGGGTTGGGGTTGGGGTTGGGGTTGGGGTTGGGGTTGGGGTTGGGGTTGGGGTTGGGGTTGGGGTTGGGGTTGGGGTTGGGGTTGGGGTTGGGGTTGGGGTTGGGGTTGGGGTTGGGGTTGGGGTTGGGGGTTGGGGTTGGGGTTGGGGTTGGGGTTGGGGTTGGGGGTTGGGGTTGGGGTTGGGGTTGGGGTTGGGGTTGGGGTTGGGGTTGGGGTTGGGGTTGGGGTTGGGGTTGGGGTTGGGGTTGGGGTTGGGGTTGGGGTTGGGGTTGGGGTTGGGGTTGGGGTTGGGGTTGGGGTTGGGGTTGGGGTTGGGGTTGGGGTTGGGGTTGGGGTTGGGGTTGGGGTTGGGGTTGGGGTTGGGGTTGGGGTTGGGGTTGGGGTTGGGGTTGGGGTTGGGGTTG